ATATAAATAAATAATTTAATAATAATATGTGTTATTGTAAACCATATGAACACATAATAATGAGTTAATGATAGATAAGATTCTTTATATCTCTCTTTCGAAATTATATAAAATTCTTTTATATTAACTTAATATATTAATATTTTATGAACGAAATGTTAAGATGTTAAAAAGTTTAATAGATATGTTTAATAGATATGTAATCACAACATACATAAATAATGACTTTCGAAAGAGATTTTATTCCCGCCGACACATGCAAATGTATTACAAAGTAAAATTCATAGAAAACCAATATAAAAAAAGTTTGACGGCAGGACGATTATTTTTTGCCGACAAAATTCGTTCGAGTAGTGAGGCGACGCGACAATAATGCGTTGTCGCCGAGCATAAAACGAGTCACGTGCGTTTTACGGACTGGAGACTCAGTCTATCAGTCCCCTTGCAATTAGATGAAGTTCGTAATTTTGTACAACGAAAGTTTGGCTGGAGGACATATTTTACGCCGCGTTTCTCCCCCTTTCTCCTTCCCTCCCCCCTCTCTCTCTCTCTCTCTCTCTCTCTCTCTCACCTTTCTCTTATTTTCGTTCACCCTTTGCATGCGAATGTGCACCGATGGGGATGCGCGCAACACAAACTTTTCCCTTAATTTCGTGATCACGATACATAGTAGCAACTTTCGGTTTTTGGGGAGAGAAAGAGAAAAACGCCAGTCGAAATAAAGACTGCCACTAGCCGGTGAATTACATATCCGGCTATATATATATTCGCAGAACCCAGGTTCTATTCCCCTTCGCCACCGAATTTCAGATATCGGATGTTCCACATATCCACGTGTCGATTTCCATTGAAGTTTACAATTCTGACGTAATGCGACATTCGGGACCGTTTTCGTCGGTGGCCACAGTTCAAATGAAATAATTGATATGGGGGAGCACGTGCTCGCGCTTTAGAGCGATACTTACCGTCTTCGTGTTCGTACGCCAAACGTACGATTTTACATTCCCCTTTTTTCTGCTGGCCACACCTCCGGACTAATGACAGTATTTTTCTCATATATGCGCGATTGAAAACGCGCGCTTGCGCGCATTCACGCGCCTCATCAAATATTCACGCGATTTTTACAGCAACCCCGTAAAGGGGCTTTCTCTCCTCCCTTAAACTTCTTCTCCTTCTTCTTCTCTTCCCTCTATTTCAGCGAAGAGGACACGGAGGAAGAGTCCGTTCGCAATTGTTACTATAAATATCACATGAATATTTGACGCGACGCGTGACAGAAGGAAGATGATCATCACCCGAAGAATACAGTCGCGTATTCCTCGGTTCCTCGACGATGAAAAATTCAATCGCGAGTGACTCGAGAGCCGACTGCAAATTTCATACGACCACGTGATGGCGAGTAGCGATGCAGAAACGCGTTGCGTGATTCCGACGCGCGCCCGCGATCGTGGACACGCGTGTACGATGTGTGTCCGCGCGCGAGTCCTGGAGTTTCCCTTCTGGGAAGGGAGAGAAAAGGTGGACATTCCTTGTCCACCGCGACGAGGGCCGAGGGAGCCCAGCCCTGTCATTCCGGCCGCAACCCGTCTGCTTTCCGCTTCAACATATGCACCGCATTTTGCGCATTACTGTAACTCCTCGTTAATGATTTACCTGCAGGAACATCGAGGCCTTTTCTCTCGATCACATATGCTGCCAAGAAGAGGGAGCGCCTTTTAACCGTGAATACTATAAAGAAAAGAGCAGTTCGCGTGTGCGTGAGACTCCGGGAAACTTCTCGATTTATCGCTATTACCGACAATCGAAGTATGTAAGAAATGGTAGACACGTATAATGCTATAACTTGCTATAACTTGAAGCCTGGTAGTAAATACAAAGTTCTATGTGTCACATTGGACTGCTAACACCTAGTAAATTTATGGTAAAATGTGATGATAATAGGTATATTTACTATAGGATATTGTACAGTGTTCAAGCAAGAACCCGGACTGAAAGATTTTTTTTAGTTCTGCTCCGATTTCGATTCACTAATAGCGTTTTCTCTTGGCTGCACTATCGCCTACCAGTACAATATTCAGACAGTGTAGCGTGTTTTCTTGGCTGGTGATAGGCGAATTCATTCAGTGTTTCTGTAGTGTAGTGCAAATTTTATGCACGAAGTGGGGTTTTGCTACACGAAATAGACGGTGTAGAGCCAGTGTGACATTAAAAATTTGAAAATGGAAGCAGAATTAAATCAACCGGCAGCAAAATTAAACACAATAGCGTAGTCATCATGATGTATGTATGTGTATACTTTTGTAATGCAGCATTGATGTAGCACTTACACGCAACTGGTGTAGCGCGAAGTTACACTCATAGTTTTTTTACAGTCTCCTTATTCGCTTTATTCTATTTTTTTAATTTATTCTATTAAAAAGTGGAAGGAGAAGGGGGAGCAGACAGAGAGAGAGAGAGAGAGAGAGAGAGAGAGAGAGAGAGAGAGAGAGAGAGCATGTTCATCTGTTCAAGAAAATCTAGTCGAAAAAAAATATCAACTAATTCTGAATGCATCAACTGATTCTGATCACGTGATTCTGAACAAAAACTACGTAAACATTATTTTAAGCACATTTTTCTCGGTCCTTTCTTACATCTTATTTTATTCTTATGGATAGATTTCACTTATTATATAAAGTCTACATATTCTTAAATTTCATGACTTAAAATAAATTCTTGCAATATATTGGTAAGGAAGATTTAAATTTAAAAAATGTTAATATCTTAAAAAAAGTTTACGCGATCCCGCCAGATTTCTTATATCATATGAGAATTTGGAATTTGCATTCCGATTGTTAAAAGAGCTATCGACGATGGATTGAACGTTAGTGATTTGGACGAAGGAACAGGCAGAACAAAGATAAAGACAACAAGGATAAAGATAAAAAATTAAAAATCGGAAAAAATTGTAAAATTTTATCAGTTTGGTTACGATTTCAGTATTATAAACTTGGGTACAATTTCGGTTTCGGTTCCGATTTCGGTTCGGTCCGGTTGTACAGTAAAAATATGTGCGATGATTTTAAATAAAAATATTGAAAAATCTACAGCATGTCGCATACTTGTATACGAAGAAATTTTACACTTTATGTCATTCCCTTACTTCGAAAGCGACATAATTCAAAAAAACGTAATTTTCTAGTTATTATTGTATTATGAATGAATTAGATAAAGATTATTCTATAAATCATCAAAAGTAAACTAATTTGTTAACTTGATAACTTTTTAGGCTTTTTAGGCTTTCAGGGTATTATCTGCAAAGATATCAGAAGATTGCGGGTTATCATCGTGTTTTTATCCATTGCTAATATTTCGTGAATCTTGTTGTTCACTTCATTAGGATGAAGAGCGCATTGATATTGGTGCGAACTAATACTGATATCAGTGCCCTTTAGTATCAATGCGCTCTTTTAAATCGTTCAATATACGAACGCTTACTCCAAATGCCTAATGTAGACGGCTTATTAGACAAACAAAAAATTTAAACAGTAAACGAATTGGACAATCACAGTAGAGACCGTAAAACAATAATGTAAATTATAAAGCAAATCTAAAGTTCGATCTACAATGTGAACATAGTTGTAAGTGTAAGTTTAAGTCACACGAATTGACCACGCTTAATGAGCGTAGAATGAGTTTAAAACGTTGATTTGCTTAACGCTTATGTCTTATTGCTTAAGTTTTTTGTGTGGGTTAGTTAGAATACACCAATCAACAGGTTGTTGCACGGTAGTTACCGCGCGCGCGCATTCGATACTGGCGATTTAAGATATTAAACGAGTTCTGGGCGTGTTGTTCTTGCACTGGCCGCCATCGCGACTATAATAACAACAGAGATAAAGAAATCGACGGGAGAGATCGAAGACCCGATATCGAGCAAAGTATCGTGTTTCTGGCTGCTCACTTAGGACCACTGAATGCAGCAGCCACATCCGGCCTATTCAGGCCCATTCACAATCTCGTCGGTCTCAATGGCGTAGGCGGAGCCCATGACAAGGAGTTGGTACCCTCATTACAAACGCACGCACCCCCAACTTCCCCTCCCGTTATCCGCGCGCCCAAGGGCCAAGAGTTTACATGTGCAACGTGTGCGTGTGTCTGTGCACATTGTACCATGTTCCCTCCTGCGTGAACCATTGGCGACAAATCGATCCATTCACGTCCAAAACGTCATTCAGCAGGCTCGTGTTGTCGCTCGTAAACGGGTTTCGACCAAAATACCGACATTTTCACCGAGATTAACGCGTCCTTTCCACCGATTGTCAACGACAATGGCATGCTTACTCGTTGGCCGGCAACGACTCCTTCGTTGAACGCGATGAAGTTGACGCGAAGCCTGTATCGAATTGATTGACGAGGGAATGATGAAGTGTCTCTTCATGTCAACGCGTTTCTTCCACAGACTACTAAAGTCGCTGCCTTGCGAAAACGTCGCGTCAATCAAGAGGATCAAATTACGCTAACATTTCTTTAAAGGGACAGCTACCTGTTGGAATATGCAATAATATGGAGAAACAAGTTGCTCGCACTCACTTCGTACATTTTTCAGATCTTTCTAATTGTTACAAGAAAAGTCAATAAAATAATTTTATTAAATTTAATTTTGGAAACAATAAATTTTGCACGTAGGTGAAATTATTTTATTTTACTGTCATTTTATGGAATGTTTTTTTTCCGTTTCAGGCCGCATTCTTTATGATATTCCTTGTAAAGTATGTCGGGATCACTCTTCGGGAAAGCATTATGGTATATTTGCTTGCGACGGATGTGCTGGCTTTTTCAAGCGATCGATTAGACGGAATCGTCAATACGTGTGCAAGGCAAAATCCGAGGGGGGTTGTATGGTGGACAAGACACATCGGAATCAATGTCGTGCCTGTCGATTGGCAAAATGCATTCAGGCCGGCATGAACAAAGATGGTAATTGAGGCGTTCTAGCTATCTTCTATTCATGCCGTTTTTAAAAATGTTTTTTTAGTAAATCTCTTCTGAAACATTTTAGTTATTATACACTTTCCTTTGTTTGCTAATGTATTACAAGTCATTACGAGAAACTATATCATTTTTTTATAGCTGTGCAGCACGAACGAGGCCCACGGAACTCAACACTTCGTAGACAAATGGCTCTATATTTTAAGGAACCTGAAATTATGAATAGTATGGTAGCCTCGGCACCAACGGCTTTAGATCTTGTTTTGCCTAAAGCGCCATCGGAACCACGCGTCTCCATGCCTAGACCATCGCCCCATCCCTCTCTTCCGCATCCGGTATATTGCAATGCGTTGACAGTATCGAAAGTACGTCTGCATCTAATATATATTAATATCTAATGTAATGTGCTAATTTTGCTTAATTTTTCTAAATGTTCTTTTGGAGAATTTATATATCGCATAGATACTCTAAGAAAAGTAACATAAAAAATATAAAATTATTCGGGAGAAAAAAAATTACATATTTTAAAATTGATAAAAATTGGCAATATAATTGAAATATATTAAATATAGCAGAAAAATTTCAATTTGTGTCACTTTTCTTATGGGAGTGCGATATATCTTCTAGATATTTTTTAATAAAATCTAGACAAATTTTTTTATAAGATCTAAATACTTTTGTAAGATATAAACGCTTCTGTAGACTTGAGGAAAGTTAAAAAATATTTTTAACAGCGACAAAACATTGAAGGCATTATCTATTTTAGATGCCATCGAATATCCCGAATCTGCAGTTGCCGTTTATACCCTCGATCAATCCTGAGTCTATATGCGAGCAGGCCGCGAGATTACTCTTTCTGAACGTGCACTGGGCGCGAGATTTGGTGTCGGGAACAAATCTCGTAATGGAGGATCAGCTGACGTTGCTTGAGTCTTCCTGGCGCGAGCTCTTTCTGTTAGCCGCCGCGCAAATGATACCAACCCTGGATCCCACACCTTTATCGTTGAATCTTCAAAGTATCGGGCTTGCGATCGAAGTGAACCGTTTTCGAGAGACTCTGGCCGGCTTCCACGCAATGAATCTAGATCAACATGAATTTGCCTGTATCAGAGCGATAGTGCTTTTCAAAGCCGGTCTGGATAATGAACCGGTATCCAGCAGTAGGAGTACGAGCAGTAACTCACCTAGTCCCGGAAGTCGACTCAGGGATGCGATCTGCGTCGCCCGGCTGATGGACAGCGCCCAATTAGCTTTAGGACAACGGCTCAGCGGGGCCTCTTACGGAACCCTTAGACTCAATAAGCTACTATTGCTACTGCCTACCCTGCGCTCCGTATCTGCACATGCTATTGAGGAACTTTTCTTCAGAACAACTATTGGCGTGATTCCAATCGAAAGGATTATCTGCGACGTGTATAAGGCGTCCTAACACAACGGATCCGTCCCGACAAAGCAATATGAAAATTGAGGAAAGCACTTATTTATTATATTTTTATTCTTTAAGATAAGATTTTTTAAACCGATTAAGATTTTTTAAACCTTCAATATCAACGTATTTTATTTACATGAGAGAGAAAGAGAAACATTTTAAATATAATTTTAATTTTAAATTTAATTTTGTTCTTTTCATTGCTCTAAGAGAAAGAAAGAATGTAAAAAATTTTATGTTAATTTTATTAATATATTAGTACATAAATTGCATATGCAACAAATATACAATTTATGTACTAATAATAATTCTACAATTTTATTGGAAAATTTTAGTATGTCAGTTTTTATTTATTGCGAATTCGATTGGCCACAGTATGTAGGTAATGCATATTGATGCATATTAAAAACATATTAACATTAACATAAAAGTGTATATACACGTATAAATGATTTGAACTTGTCCAATGTATAGCTCAAATTATTACATTTGTTTGGTTAAATATATATTAAACATTTAATTGATCAAAATTTATATTTTACACACACACACACACACACACACACAAAATGTTTTTTTTCTATTTATGTATTATTTCATTATAAGATAACAAGCCTTAATCTGCAGTGTATTGTGTATATCCAATTACACTTGTATATTAGTGCATCCAATCGAATTCAATGCTAAAAAAAAGAGAAAGATGCATCAATTGGGATTACGATTACATAATCGAAAAAAATATAGTTTATGTGAAATATTAGTGCGAGAATAGAATGATCATAATAGATTTAAGTTTTATTAAGAACAGAGACAGAATAAATTATGTTTTCCAAGGCTTTGGAGTTGTGCAAAAAAATTAATTTTAAAAAATTTGTTTAAAATGTTTTAAGAATAAAATGCTTCGATGAAAATAATCTACTGAAAAAACTAAAGAAAATATACAAACGCATGTAAATACAAATGTAAAAATGATACATCTTCGTTACATTTTAATTATCTAATTATGATAACTAAAGAAAATATAGAATAATATCTTATTGAGATGCACATGTCAAAAACATAATTATGTATATAAATAGGATTTCAACATATGTAAATAAAATGTTATACATCTACAATCTTTATTTCTTTCTTCACATTTCCTGATAGTTTTACGCACACATTTTAAGATCCATTACAAATATTTATAAATATTGAATAACGCAAGATAATTATTTTAGATGTATTTGTTTGTGCTTTTATGAAAATCTAGCACGACTGAAGAAGATAAAGATCTACCTTCCATTCATTATAGTAGAGGAGAAAAAGCAAAGGGATTGTATGTTCAAAAATTTACCTGGCTATTGGGGCCAACAGAATACGTAGCATTTCATGGTGATTTGACCTATAATCGGCACAAAAAAGGACCGTACCGAATTCTGTTGATGCTGTACATTTTGTATATTTCTTGCCTTGGTAAGCCAACATGTAATCATCCGAGCAAATAGTCTGAGTCGACGGATTTAAGACCCATGTCGACGTCTTTGTTAATGGCTGTTGGAGATCTCTGTTATTTCAGAAGTTTGATTTTCTTTTCAAGGTCTTTGTTACATCGTCTTCTCTCGTCAAATTTCAACTACTTTATATTGTTATTTAATTCTCTACACAAACAAGAATTCGAAGAAAAACATCAACTAATTCTAGGATCAACTCTCCTAATAATTATTATATACATTGAGTCATGTATTTTTATTCTCCAATTATCAGTGAAAAATATCAAAAAAGCCCATCAAAGTTTGCATCGGCAAACATGCAATGTAACATACGAAAATAAAAAGTTTTCTGTGCATCCGAACAACCGATGCAGGCTTTCTGATATTTTTCATTGATAGATTCTTTCGATCCTCATTTTATATATTTGTCCTCCAATTATTTTATATTATAACGCAAAAACATTATTGAAATAAAATTTAAATATAGAATTTGTTGTGTGAAACGAAATCTAGAAAAAATTTATCAATTGCAATATGTTTGAAAAGTACTAAAGAATATATTCTCACGAAATTGCGAGATGCGGGATATGTGAAATAATATCAGCATGTCGTTCAGTTCAACTATGCCTGAACAACTCTTATTACTCACCTGAGCGAACCTTCGAGTGTTACCACTTAGTGACACTTCCTTGTGCTTAAATATGTTTATGTCAATTCTAATTTTTATCCTCCTTTTATCCATCCTTCGAACGATGTGCATAAAAATTGACAAATATCTGAAAATATTGACAATGAAGAGGAGAGGTAAACCTATTCGCAATATAATTCTATAAGTTACTTATACGACCTTTTCTATTTATTTATTGCTTTTAAAGCTATATTCCAAAATTTATTGTTAATGAAAATCTATTATACACAGTACATGTAACGCAAACTATAGATTTTCAGTACTGGCAATAAGTTTTGGAACACAATTTAATAAAAATAACTTATTTTCTTTTAACGTAAGTTTTTTTTTTAGAATTGGAATATGAAGATATTCGATATATGATTTTTATAAAACATATTTTTTAGAACTTTTTATACTTATTGGTACAATTCTTGAAAGATTCTGCAAATCAAGACGTTGGAGAATACAATTGTCATTTTTAGCTTATACAACTTTCACGAGTGTCAAGGTGGAATGTTTGCCTGGCTAATTCGGCGGTCCTTAAATCCTCAACCTTCCTGAGGATTACTTTTTGGAGGATTCCGCTATACGCGGTTGAACGCTTGGCCGGCTACTGTTTAATTCAAGGTCGACCATCCGAACAATCGGTTCACCTATAAATTCCATAATTATTTCCTTTTCCATTTTTGTATTTTAGAGAGATCAAAGTTCTATATCAAGAAGACATCATTAGATTAAACATCATTAGATTACATTAAATTATTTGTATTTTGTTTTAGGATAATTCTAATAGAACGTGTCACATGAAATTTTTATATTTAAATTGTTACAATATTAAAATTGTGAAAAAACTTTAATTAAAATTTGGAATATAGTCTTCTATGTAAATTTTATTTTTTCATTGATACCGAGAAAATAACGTCTTTAATATCTTTAAATAATGTAAATAATAATGTAAATAATGTTTGTTAAATTTAAGACAATGATTATTAAATTTAAAATTAACAAATTTAATCAAAATCACGAGTTTAACGTGATGGCGATTATGTTAAATCGCAAAACTGTTTGAGAGCGACGATGGGGTGCGTGAAGCAAGAGAGACAGAGAGAAGCGATATCGCAGCATCCAATTAACATCTCGATTTAATAAAGCTCTCAAGCCGCATATGTTACCATTTCCCGTACAAAGTGCCTGCCACCTAAAAAAAGAACGACATGTAAAAAGAGAGAGAGAACTCGCTTATTTTCCCTGCACCCCTGGAACCTACTCTCGTAATCGAGGAGGCCAACGCTCTTCAGCAAGTAACACTGTAACGTTTCCGGCTGAGTGAATAATAATCCCGGGAGTTCTGAACAATGACGACCTACTTCGGTAGTAACAATGATGGTAACAGAGAAGCGGCATTATAAACGTCACAGATCTATAGGCCTGGTGTTATGGAATTTCTTTAGTTAAAATAAAAGCTGTTCCGCGATATACACGAATAATACATGTAGATATGTGTACCAATATAAATAACGTTTTTAATATATTAGATTATATATTTACTAAATTATATATTTTTAAAACAATATTAAAAATTCTACAAATTATTATTTTTCTCTGTAGAGTATCATTTCAATAATCTTATCATTTATATTGTACTTTTAAAATTATACACACAGAAAGAATTTACTAAAATATTTAAAATCTTAAAAAAAAATTTTTAAATAACTTTGTTGGACATCTTAATAATTGCATAAAATACTTAAACATTGATGACAACGCAAAAAGTTTTAATATTCTAACAACTTGTTTGAGCGTCCTATTTAATTACTTTAATGATTTAAACAAAATAATTTTTTTAATCTTATTGTATAATCTTATAATATAACTATATTTTTAGAAACTTCAGCAAAAATATTCTTTCCAGTATAGTAAAATAAAAATAAAAATGTCCACAATTTGAAACATTTCGCATACAAAAATTTGTTTAGCAGTTAAAATAATTTCTATGAAATTTTGTGAAAGTGATAGGCGATTTCAATTAATCGATGCATATGCAGCTAATTTGTGCTTTATTAAATTCCTGACGAAATGTTTGGCACGTGCAAATATTCGCTAAAACTTAATCAAACATGCGATGGACATGCTTACTTATGACAGATGTACTAAATTCAAAATCACCTTGAATTGCCAAAGCCGAATTACCAACGGTTCCCATCGATGCAATATTGGACAACACCTTGCCATCCTAGCCGCTCCGATGAAAACACACAGCACAATTCAAAGAACGCGCGGCTCATTCCGAGGAACAATGTCGAAAACAATAACACCGATCATTCCTGATCCCGGTATACATATTGCTATATCGTATAAGTAACAGTAACAAAACGCAATTCGAACACAATGGGGCGACGATGTAATTGCGCCCCACGATGATGACTGGTGCTTGTACAAAGGGCACTCGACTATATGTTACAATCTCGATTTCGTCGCCGATCCTCGAAGACGACAAGAGGAACAGAGCAAGAGAGAAAAAGAGAGAAGGAAAAAGAAAGTCCCAGAGAGACCGCGTCAATGCCGCTCAAGTGACCTCTCATGAATTGCGCTTTGCTTTGTGGGCCATTGTTGGCTTTGTTTTGAGGTAACAAAATAGAAAACGCGTTTCATACGCGACCGCTATTCTAGTCAATTAGCGGCCATGTGATCCATCAAAGTGGGATATTTCTTTAAATTCTCAACATAATTATAACTCTGTAATCTAAATTAAAAATGTTTTCATGTAACATTATTGTTCTACTTCTTTCTATTAATTTAAATTAAGAATGTTGGTATAATATTAGTCTAACGCATCTTTACAAGAATTAAAGAAAAAA